AAGAGATGAGCTCAGCCTCCTACAGTTCTAGGAGACACACTTGGCTACTTTTGAGTTTCTCCTACTGATGGGCAGTTCATATAGTAGAAAGAACATAGTAAGCTGCATGTCTCTAGCCCTATTCAGGCGTTGAAATCCATATGCTCTTCATCAAGTGAAAGATTTGTGGGGATGTGTTCTTTGTCGCCACTGGCTCTCAACCTAGCTCTGCAGTGCTCCAGACAATGCAGTGTGACTGTCTGCAGAAGGGAGCCTTCTGTACTAGCTCAGGGGTTCTGAGTCATATGGAGAGCCTACACAAGGTTTTCCAAAATAAATTTCCCCTCCAGAAAAAATACCAGTGCCGTATTTTCCCGTGGAAATTTTTCCATTTCATGAGTTCATTAGCAAAAAGTAAATGGATGCCAGTTGCAAATAAAATATCAGGCAAGCACGGCAACTTCAAGATGTTGGCCTTGCTATACAAGTAATATAAACATGTTATATCAGTTTGCTATACAAGTAATATAAACAGTTATATCACTTTCTAAGACATCAGAAAATTGCTTTTCATTAATTAAAAAATCAGTGGATGGGCTACTACAGAGGGGGCAGAGACATTGAGTTCATCTCCATGAAATGAACCTTAAACACCTGAGTAGGACTTCTCATATCCTGCTGAGGGAATTTTTTGCAAATATTAGCATCTGATCAGAAATCTGGTGAGCTGCGGTCTGGCGATAATTTATTTATCACAGCAATTGGCAAGGCATTGCAGGTAACCAGTTCACCAAACTTGGTATGCAGCAGATATAAAAAAAACCCAAGAGGAACGAGTAGCTTCTCTTAGTTCTTTCTATTCCAGCCGCTCTGAATAATTAGTTGCAGGTTAGACTGGGAAATTGAGGTTTAAAGGTAAAGGTAAAGGTACCCCTGCTCGTAGGGGCCAGTCGTGTCCGACTCTAGGGTTGCGTGCTCATCTCGCTCTAGAGGCCGTGAGCCGGCGCAGTCCGAAGACACTTCTGGGCTCTAGAGGCCATGAGCCGGCGCAGTCTGAAGACACTTCCGGGTCACGTGGCCAGCGTGACGAAGCTGCAGCTGGCGAGCCAGCACCAGCGCAGGACACGGAAACGCCGTTTACCTTCCCGCTATAAAGCGGTACCTATTTATCTACTTGCACTTAAGAGTGCTTTCGAACTGCTAGGTGGGCAGGAGCTGGGACCGAACGACGGGAGCTCACCCCGCCGTGGGGATTCGAACCGCCAACCATATGATCGGCAAGTCCAAGCACTGAGGTTTTACCGACAGCGCCACCCGCGTCCCAAATTGAGGTTTACTTTGCTGCTTAAGGAATAAAGATGTTAGCTCCTTGGCTAGCACTAAGGGCCAAGGTATCTTGCTTGCTGTAGTGTTAAACTTGGAACAAGGGAGGCATCCCTTGGGAAGCAAGGTCTCTCTCCTTTAGGAGCCGGAGAATTGCACAGACTCCAATGGCAGCTGCCAGTCAAGTCATGTGATAGGCTGAAAGACCCTACGGGGGTCTGAACCTCCTTTCTTCAGTCTTCACCCACCAGGACGCGTAAAGCAATGAGTTCAAAATTTTGTTGTAAGTCAGTGCAGGAGCTTATCTTTCATAGTTTTTGTGTGTGTTAAGCTCCATGTAAGTGTAATAAGTATTTTTACAAGCTTGGCGGAGAGCACTACAGTGGGAGATGGGTTAATTCTGCAGAGCAGAGCAGTTTCCATGTTGGCTGCAACTCCTTAAGTGCTTAAACCTGTAGGACTTTTCACATGAAAGAATTGGACAGCACAATGCTGCAGTATCCCACCTGTTCTCTGTTTGCTTTTGGGCACATCGTCAAAAACTGTGCTGGGAGAGTTTATAGGCAAACATTATAAAAAGTGACAGTCTTTAAGTGCTGTTAGATTTGAATTTGGCAGAACAAAAAGCTTACCTGAAATAGATATTGATTTCCAAACTAATTTATATGTCATGAGGATTCTTGATATCCTATGTTTGCCACGGCATTCTTAGTCACAGGAGGAGCATCAGTTCCTTTTAATTTTGAAGTTCAAGGATGATGCTCATGTAGTTCATGTAATGGCAGCACCACTCTGGGGTGGCGGCGGCATTCTCCAAGGTTAGCAGAAGTACAAACAAATCTTTAACGAAAAAGAACACCAAGGGGAGGAAACCTCAGCCCAATGTGGACTAAGCATGCTCAGTTGCCACAGAATGATGACTGAGTGTTGGGCTGAAAAAGTGGAAAACTTGGTGGGAATAAGAATACTGTATTAAGGAGTATCCTGAAATTGCATTATACTGTAGATTATATGCCCAGTGCACATCCTAAGAGAACTTTTCTTTTTCTGAATCATTAGCAATTTCTTTCCTAACTATGGTCAAATTTAACTTTTACCATCTCTTGAAAGTGGACTCAGTGGATGCTTATTAAAAAACAAAGTAAAAAAGAGTGGGGGTTTTTAGCACGCAAGTGCTGCCAGAATAGTGGATGGAGACATTCAGGCCTTTTCAACTGAAATGTTCCCAGATTCTTTAATTGTGGTTTAGGAAGCTGGGAATGAGAGTTGTGCCTGCTTATTCCTCACCTCTCCCTTCACACACTGCCTTGGGCGCCGCAGTCCTGATCTCTTTAGACTAACTTCCCATTTTGTCCAAACTAAGGAGCTCTGGTAGAATGGTTGTTTACTGACCAGGAAATTAAACCATGATTTGATCCTGGTTAGTAAATAAACATTAAGCCACAGTTTTATGTTTCAGTTCTAACATGGGGCTGTATTTTAAAGTAGCCTTCGCTAAATTGGTTCTCACCAGATGCTTTGGACTGCAGCTTCCATCAAATCCATTTCTAGTCCAAAACATCTGAAGAACATACGATCAGTGAAGGCTGCATCTGAATGGTCTAGGATCTCACAGTATGAAAGCTGGTGTGCAATGGGAGGCAGGAAACATGAAGACCCAATGCTTCTTCCTGGCTTTATAATCACTGGATTATTAAATGGGGAATTTAACATCAACCTGCCATGTTGTGGCTACATGTTCCATTTCTAGCCTTTTGGGGTGGGCTTTTTTTAAAAAAATTAGTTGGTAAAGTCCCTCACTGGGTTATTTAGACACTGGACAAAACTGGTATCTTAATAAAGTGATCTACATAAAGTGGTACCTTGGGTTAAGAACTTAATTCGTTCTGGAGGTCGGTTCTTAACATGAAATTGTTCTTAACCTGAGGTACCACTTTAGCTAATGGGGCCTCCCGCTGCTGCTGCGCCACCACCGCACGATTTTTGTTCTCATCCTGAAGCAAAGTTCTTAACCCGAGGCACTATTTCTGGGTTAGTGGAGTCTGTAACCTGAAGCATCTGTAACCTGAAGCATCTGTAACTCGAGGTACCACTGTATATACACTCTTTTTGAAGGTCAATTTCAAAGACTCCTGGGAAATGCTGGCCACAACTAAGCTCAGTAAAACAAATTTACTACACCAGATAGAATGAGCTGCAGTGGTTACGGAGAACAGTGAATGCAATTCTATACAGTAAACCAGTCTTGCTTGTTCTGAAGTGTCAGCAAACCTAAAATCAATCATTTGTTCTGTGACATTTTTGCTACATTTCTTGGATTTAACCTTTTACTGATATAAAATATATATGCAGAAAACAGCTCATTCTCCATCTGGATAATGATCCCCCCCCCCCGCTCTCCTAACAACCCTCGGTTGGTGCAAATTGTAACACCTGTATAATGGATTGATGGAATCCATAATTACCTCATCAAGTTTGTAAAAAAGAAGTGTAAAATTGTACGAGAGTTCATAGAATACTTGCTTGCCAAATAATTTTGATCTGTTGAACATTTTGAGACCCAGTTGTAAAATCTAAACATGTAAAATGTTAACATTTGTATAAAAATATTGTTTAGGCCTCAGTTTCAGTATGTATAGCAGTCACACAATCTTATTCTGTGAAAATGAAGAATTGCTTTTCCTTGATGGTGCAAATTGGAGAAGAGGCTGTGAGGGGAACATTTTTTTCTGTGGAAAAATAATCAGTGGTTCTGCAGAGCTAATTTACGGAAGGATTAGTCATTGTCCTCATGTGCGAAATTCTACCAGCAGAGAAACAGGATGTAACTTAAATCACACCTCTGATTTTGGTGAAGGTTACATGCTACTTAGCTTGTCCAGTTCAGGACATTGCAAGGACAATAAAAGTGTGAGAAGGCTACCTACCTTGCGCTTGGGTTTGTAAATTGCCAACACTTGCTCCCCCAAAGTGGGTATAAATTGTGAACACTGTTCCAAGAAATGAACGTCTCTCACTTAAATGTATTCATAATTGTGTTGTATATGGCCTTCCCTCTAGAACAGAGTTGAGAACCTGTGACTCACTGGACTCTCAATTCACATAATCCTTGACTATTGGCCCTGCTGGCCAGGGCTGATGAATGCTGGGAGTCCCACAACATCTGAATGGCCACATGTTCCAAGTCCCTTTTCTAGAGCTAGAAGTGATTAGCTGTAATACTGAGAATTTGTTCATACACCCCTCTCCTTGCATGCACTCCACAGCATGGGAGGCTGTAAATTATTAGCAAAGAAGACAGAGTGTCACTTGGCACTTAAAAAAACTAATTTATTGCAACTTGAGCTTGCATAAGCTCTGGGCTTACTTCATCAGATGCGGTTATCAAGTTACTAGGATTCTTGTGTTGTAGCGTATAGTCAGACTGCACACTTCCCAGCCTGAGCATCGCCACCTTCCTCGAACTTGTGGTTTTCTTATCCAAAGCCATGCCTTCTACTTTTTATACTCTGTCCTGTAAGCTTGCAGCACATCATGGATGAAGCTGCTTCATCAGTTTTGCTTGCCTTTCCCCAATTTTATGAAAAATTCACACATTTTCAAAGAGGGCCTTCACTGACAATTGTTGGAAATTTTCTCTCCCCCCTTTGTCCCTTCTCCACCCTTCTTCTGTGCCCATCTACTTTCCACTTTTGCAGAGCCACCAACCAAATATCAAATCTCTCAGCCTGATGTATACTCTATACTTCCGGGAGACTCTTTGATGTTGCACTGTCAACTGAAAGATGCAATCAAGATCACTTGGACTAAAGATGGGGTCCATTTGATGCCCAGCAATCGAACAATCATGACTGGGGAATACTTGCGGATTAAAGATAGTTCGCCCAAAGATTCAGGCCTTTATGCTTGCACTGCTGTTAGGGCTGTAGACAGTGAGACCCTCTACTTCATTATAAATATTACAGGTGAGTTTGCTTTTTTACTACATGCAAATAGCTGTAACCTAAATTTATTATATGCGTATGTATAGCCAGTTTCTGCTCAAGCATTAAAGAGACATTCTGGTCGTATATAATATTCTTTATTTTGCCAGCTTGCTCATGCTCTTAGATCATTTCCCCTGTTGGATGGTAAAGTGGGTGGCATTTTTAGCTGTGGTACCCGGCAATTCGCCCTCTCAGGTGGCTCAATTACCGTAGGTGCCAGGGGAAAAAGCTTTTTCTTCTTTCAAGCACCTAATGTGTGTGTGTGTGTGATATATGTCTGTGTGTGTGTGTGTGTGTGTGTGTGTGCACGCTATGGACTGCTATATATAAATGCTATGGACTGTTTAGCAAAGTTTTTAATGTTTGATGTGTCACTGTGTTTTTAATATTCTGTTGGGAGCTACCCAGAGTAGCTGGGAAACCCCAGCCAGATGGGTGGGGTAATAACAAGAACTAGAAGAAGAACAAGAACAACAACAACAACAATAATAATGTGGAATATCTTATTTGTTGCTTTATGAAATATATATATTTAAATACATTTTTCAAACATTTTCACAATAACCTTCAAATCAAATAATTACATTGTTTCACTAGTTGACTTCCCACCCTCACCTCCACAATGTTTTTACTCATACTTTTTCTGCTGCATTATATCATTATCTATTACAAAAAAGTCTCTCTATTACAATTATTTTATCACTTTTCTTCCTGCCCGTGATTTGACTATAATATTTTTTTTAATAGTCCACAGAAGTCCTCCATTCTATTAAAAAAATTCACCATTTCACTGTCAGTTTTGCCATTTCTGCATAGTCCCATTATTTTAAAAAGCCACCCCATGCATTTGTATTAATTAAGCCACCTTGGAGTCAGCTTTGATGAAGGGTGGTAGAATAATGTTTCAATGAAATAATATAAAAGAAGTTTATAGTGATGTCAGTTTAAGAAAACTTCTGTTTGATAGTTCTACCCTCCCACTCTGGTACATACAGCCACAAACTTTATATAGCAGTGATGGGGAACCTTTCTTCAGCTTAAGAGCTTCATTTCCTTCTGCATTTCCTTCCCCACCACATGTATATAACCTAAAATCTGATTCATTGACAAAGAGATAATTTTCTTTTTAAAAAAACCTTAATTTGGTTCAAATGAGCGGTAATTTATGTGGGCCTGTTTAGATGTATACTTGGGACTGGGGCAGAGTGTGTATGGATAATTAAGAGAACTGGGTAACCAATGTGGAGACAATACTTGGTTCTACTGCACAGTCATGTTAGAAAATAACAACACCCATCATTTGAAATTGTTCTCCAAATCTTCTCCATGATCAACTATACCAGAACTCCATTTTTTAAAAGTATCGAAACCTACACACACACACACTGTAAACCACATGCACTTGTTCAGGAACAAGTAAATAATCTTTTCTTGTTGTCATTTTTTTGTGTTTAATTTTCAAAGAGAGAAAATAGCAGCAGCCCAAGAAACTTTGCTTGGAAACATCTATGGCCATGACCCAACTAGACTATATGTACATGCAGGGATGAACGGTGCACTCAGTTGGAGGTTCCTTAGCAGCAGATACTTCAAAGAAGCCTCTGGCTGTGTACGCAGTTTTTGCCTACATAAACATATAGGTTCAGTGGATCATGGGCAATATATATATATATATATATGCCATAAAGTGTGTGATGCTGCTTCTCTTAAAGAAGATCTGTTCCAGATGTGACATAAAAGAAACAACATGAGTCCAGAAAATAGGTGTGTTTGCTTGCAATGTGTAGTAGGTGAACAATGTTAAATTTTTAAACTTCAGATGTTCTTTCATCTGGAGATGATGAAGATGACAACGATGGCTCTGAGGATTTTGTGAATGACAACAACCAAATCAGTAAGTAACTCTCTGACTGCTGAAGGTGCCTGGCAGAATCCATATGGAAATATTTCCCCCACCTAATCTTCTGCACTCTCTTCAAGCACTTTCTTGGCTGTTAAACTCATGAGCAATCTATTAGCTGTAGATTTCAACTGGCTTGTTTCCTCTTTGTTTTTGTGTATTTCTGGTCTTCTGAAACATGGAAATAAACTATTATCATATTCTTGCCTGCTTCTTTATTCTTTCTTGTCTTAGTTGCCATTAACCTTTTAGCAATTCTTCTTTTTTAACTCAACATGTTCTGTACTGACACCTCCTCTTTCTTCATTTCTGGATCAGAGTTGTAATTTCCTGTAATGACAATATTCAAGTGATGGTTATGAAATTGAATTGTAATTAATTTTGTAGTGAAAAGAAAAATCTATGAAAAGAGAATGCAATGACCCTTTCCAACTTCAGGTTTCCTAATGATGGTATGGTCTAGTCCCAAAGAATATACTCTACTTGGTTAGCTGTCTAGGCAGACGCTTATATGTTGTTCCTACATTAGTAATGTGGGTTCGAAGAATTTGAAACCAAATGTTTCCTTTAGCATTCTATACCTTAATATGTAGTTTTTATTAGGCCTACCAAATGTTTAAAACTAGTTTTAGTTTAAAACTAGTTTTACACATGCAGCAGAAAGAGGCGAGAATGTCTGTAAGGGAAGGCTCGTAGCTTGGTGGGTACAATACATATTTTGCAAATAGAAAGTCTTAAGGTTCAAGGCCCAGCAAGCTCATTGACATGGTCCTAGGTAAGAATTCACAAATCCTCCAAAGTACTAGATCAGCATTTGGAGAAATAGTTTGATTCATCTCTGATCCTAACAGGAGCACCACCCACCCCATCACCACTCACCCACAACAGTGTTGCTGCAATATATTTTGCCCAACATAGTATAAAATACTGTGGATTGAAGCTCAACGCTCAAAAGACCACCTCAACTGCTCAGCAGCCCCCAACCAAGACATTTTTGCTGATTGAAACAAAGGATGAGATCTTTCTGCCCCCTTCATTCCATATATTGAAAGATGGTGGGAAGGACAGCTGAATCTAATTTCAATCCTGGTATCTTCCACTGCTTTTGACCAGCAGGCAGGCTTAAGGGCTGCCGGGCAGGCTCTGTGGGGCAGCCACAGCCCTCTCCTCTAGCACCTCAACACCACACTCCTTCCCTCATCATCTGCCACATCGAGGCAGCTGCCCCACTCTGCCTAATGGTACTGCTGGCCCTGAATAGGTAGGGGATGGAACCTCTGCCTAGGTTGATGCTTCTGGAGGTTCTTTTTAAGAAACCAGAGTCCCATAGAGGCAAATGCCTGCTGTGGCTAGAGTATTGAAAACGTTTTGTGGAAGGAAAAGTCAACGAGTGTTTGTAAAGAACCTTGGTTGTGAAGAAGCTTTAACTTGGGGACAATTCATTTCCAATAAGCCATGGTGTTAAATTATACAAAGTACTCTCTAGCCTGAACATTTAGAACAGGGGTTGCTTACCTGTGACCCTCCAGATGTAGGAGTGCCTCTCCCTGGAACACTGAGCATCAGCAATGCTGGCAGGTGTTGAGGCAAGTTGATGTTCAGCAACACCTGGATGTCCACAGGCTCCCCATCCCTGATTTAGAACCTTTCATCTCCAGATGCTGAATTATTATGAGTTTTCTGGGAGGGGTGAGTATATTTTCGGGTAATGCTAGTGTGGGCTTATGTGATTTGTAGGTGGGCTTATTTGACTTGCAAATTAGAGCCGTGTTTATTCACAGGCGTAGGGTTGTTTATAGCTTTAGGGGGAAGCCCAGCTACGTGTGTGAGCTTTTAGATAGGCTTAGATGGCAGTTCTTGTAATGATCAGTGATAACAGGAGTGTTACATTTATAATGTGAAAAGTAAGGAAAAGCTTTGCAGCTTGTTGCTTTAAGAGGAGACTCTGAACTTCACGTATATGTGTGTGGGTCATTTTCATTTGTCATTTTATGGCATGTTTATTTCTACTGCAACTTTGTGATGGAGACACACACTTATTAATATATATTGTATATATAAATTCTTACCTCATCTGTGGGCAGATATCCTAACTGTGAGAAAACAATAGGTTAGATTAAATCCAAGCAGTATACTGAATGTGCTTTATATTACTTCCACCTATTGTTGGAATGTTATTTTTTTACCATGAGGGGCAAACATAGCAGCAGCAAAAAATGCAGATCTCTGGCCATAAAGCAGAGAAAAAAACCTGATTAAATAAATTAAATATTTTCTGGGTCAAGCTAGTGGCTCACCTAGTCCATCATGCTGTTAATACGTTAGTGAAGCAGATGCTCATGGGAAGCCTGCAAGTAATACTACAATGCAACAAGCTGAATGGGAATGCTTGTAGTAATAATAATAATAATAATAATAATAATAATAATAATCCACTCTTCATCCGAAGATCCCAGGGCTATTAACAACAGAGAAATTCAAAACAAGAATACAAAACACAAAAATCTATACCAACACTACTAATTAGTGTTAATTTAAAGGAAGCGTTCTTTAAATCAACCTATCACGAAAACATATTCTTTTGGAGGTGTAAGTGGATCAGATCTGATTCTATGCATGTTTTTTGCAGCTGCACACACACACACACACACACACACACACACATAACCCCAATTTGTGGCCACAGTATTGGATATAAAACAGGAAATTGCTGAGTACGTATTATCCAGGAACTTGAAAACAATACTCCTGCATGTTACAATCAGAAGTGTAGTTCTGCAGTTGGAAACAGGCTTATTGACCGGTGCTAAACCTTGCATCGCTCAACACTGAAGAAATAAAAACACTCCGGCTGTAACAGACTAATGGGGTGGGGTAGGGGGACACTCTATCATTAGAATTAACATACAGTGGTGCCCCGCAAGACGAATGCCTCGCAAGACGAAAAACTCACTAGACGAAAGAGTTTTCCATTTTTTGAGTCGTTCCGCAAGACGAATTTCCCTATGGGCTTGCTTCGCAAGATGAAACGTCTTGCGAGTTCTTGCGAGTTTGTTTCCTTTTTCTTAAAGCCGCTAAGCCGCTAATAGCCGTGCTTCGCAAGACGAAAAAACCGCAAGACGAATAGACTCGCGGAACGGATTAATTTCGTCTTGCGAGGCACCACTGTACAAAAGGAAAGCTTCAAGCAGTAACCAGTAAAGTAGATTTAACAAGAGATGGGCCAGCTTATGTGCTTCCTACTCTGCTTGTTCTCAGATTTATAATCATCATGGTGGTGGGAAATGATGAGAAACCAAGATGGCAGTGTGATGGAAAGGCCCAGTAACTAGAAATCGGGTAACCATTGTGCTCTTGCCAAAGTGCTTGTCACTGATAACGGAGTTCACAGCACTGAAAGAATCATCGCATCTGCTGGGTTCTTGTGATTATAGCAGCGCCGGCTGACTCCTGTGCTCTTTAGCACCAATCTTGTTCATGTGCCGTTTGGATTAACTTTATCAGGAATTTGGGATTTGTTCCAGCAGGGTTATTTGTCTGATGAAAAGAAACTGCTTTGTGGAACGTGCTAGCACTAGAACAAAAAAAGAAAAATGTACTCATGTATCGGTACTTAATAACATTCATGTTAGATGAACCCCCTTTTTTGTTGTGATCCTCGACTTAACTGCTTTATTTCCACATTCCCCTGTAGTGTTGTTGCCATTTTGTATCTAACAAATCATTTTAATGGCGCTTTCTCCTATGTATCTTTTGGAATAATTAAAATGTTGTTGGTTGTGCAGTTTAATTTTAAATATTTATAACTTTCCTGGTGTTATGCTTGCAACTGCATGTTCCAAATATCCATTGATTTTTCCACTTAATTAAATTTTAAAGCTTCAGGCTAAAATGAAATAGTCAAGTATCATTTCTAGAATAATTTTAATGCTTAAATTTGAATATATTTTTTCAGTGAGGAGGCTTGTTAAGGACTGTTGCTGTATTCTTCTCCAGCTGTATTTTTATTTTGGTTTGTTGAGGGAAGTGGAGTGGAGGAATTCTATGTGTGCTGATTTCAAGAACTGCCATAAACGTTTGACGAACGGAAGGATTTGTTTGTTATGGAGCGGTCGCTTGTAATAAAGGAAATGAATTAAGGCTGAGAGAGGAATGGTTATGTTTCTGGACCCCTCTGGTCCTAAAAATGTCCATAGTAAATAGATTTATTTCAGGAAGGATCTGTTGTAAAATAATTAAAAGTCCTTACCGTTAAATAGATTTCCATCCTTAATTTTAAAACAGGTAAATGAGTGAACTGAATTAAGCACAGTCATTATATAACTGTGCAGTTAATCAGATTTCTTGTTATCTGCAGTGGAGGGCTCAGGTCACTACTGTACAGCAGGAGAATTATGGATAGATACGGAAAACCTATTGTAGTAATTTCAGCTAAGCCAATGCAGTTCTTACGCTTTCAGATTTGTTTTCAGTTTTGTTAGTAATGATCCTGCTTTTGGGAGGAGGGGGCTTAGCTACGGTGCCCCTTTAAAAGCATTTATTTACCTTTGAAAATTCAGTCTTCTGCTGTTCATCACTGATGTGTTGACATCCAGTAACATCATTTTTTTGTCAAAACGTAACTTACCAGTGGGTGTTTTGTGGGGACTGCGGGTGGCGCTGTGGGTTAAACCACAGAGCCTAGGACTTGCCAATCAGTAGGTCGGCGGTTCGAATCCCTACGACGGGGTGAGCTCCCATTTCTCAGTCCCTGCTCCTGCCAACCTAGCAGTTCGAATGCACATCAAAGTGCAAGTAGATAAATAGGTACCTCTCCAGCGGGAAGGTAAACGGCGTTTCCGTGCGCTGCTCTGGTTCGCCAGAAACCGCTTAGTCATGCTGGCCACATGACCCGGAAGCTGTACTCCGGCTCCCTCGGCCAATAAAGCGAGATGAACACCGCAACCCCAGAGTCGGCCACGACTGGACCTAATGGTCAGGGGTCCCTTTACCTTTATTTTAACTTACCAGTGGGTGTTTTGTAGTGTCTATTGGCCAACAGAGATGTCCAGATGGCATATGTTATATAATGTGGCTCCACCCAATGAGCTGGGGCTCATGGCTATGAGAAAGAGAGGGCCTTTTCAGTGGTGGTGCCACAGTTGTAGAACACCCTTCCCAGAGAGACTCTCTTGGCTCCCCCATTGTGATCCCTTTGGTGCCAGCTGAAGTCCTTGTTTATTTTTCCATTTAGTGGTTTACAGATCTTTGCTTATTCTTGGAGTTTAAAGATGTATCAGATCTGTGAGCTCTGTTTGTCTCATTTTCTGCTGTATTGCATTTTATAGTTTAAAGACAGGATTGGAGAACTTGTGGCTCTCCAGATGTCATTGGACTCTGAATCCCATCAGCTCCAGCCAGCATGGCCAATGGCCAAGGGTGATGGAAGTTGTAGTCCGCAAACATCGAGAGGGGGACACAGGTTTACCAGTCATTTCTAAACAGCTTGTTTTGTATTTATTTTATTTTTTCTTGGAGACTACTGAGAGGATTTATTCTATTGGGGATAAACAAATATGTTATGTAACATTTGTTTTCTTCATAGTATTGGATTGGCTGCATAAACCCACATAATATTATTAATGGGCATCGTTACCAAACTCTGGATGTCAAAGGAGCTATGGGGGGGCAAGATTGTTTAGGGTACTGCTTTGAAAAAATTCTGCACTCAGAAACGCCGATTTCAAAATGAAAATAAAACATTGCTAATGTTGGGGATGGTCATTTTGTAGGTTCTTAGCTAGGTGTTCTAATCCACCTGTTACAAGAATCTTCCTTGTTTTTTCCTTTGATTTTATACTTAGGCTGATTTTTCCTGGTATGTAAGATCAGTAAACATGGGACAGAGTTGATCACTTGGCGTGGATTAGTACAAATATCTGGAACAGGCACATCTGTCTTCATGCCATCGTTATCTGTATTAACCAAATCAACATATAACTTTCACAAAACTTTTTGGACAGGAGAGATTAGAAATAGTGTTCCTTTTCTATTGAAGTTAGTGCACTGTTTTGGTGGTGGTTTTTTGTTTTGTTTTATTTTTGGAGAGGGAACATCAGGAATTTTCCCCTGGGTATGGAATAGCTTTTGAGTAGCTAGTTAGAGTGAGTGTCTGTTTTTCCTAGAATTAAACCATGGTGTTTTAACAAGCACTCTGGTCAGAGATTTGTTTGCTTCCCATCCAAACTCTGACATTGAATTTCATACCATGTTGTACTGCAAGTTGAGAGATCAGCAGCAGAGAGAGGACCTTGTTTTGCTGTTGGGTTGGGTTGGGTTGCGTTGGGGAAAATGCCAGATCCTTGTATGAAACAATTCCAGTGATTTTGTTCATTGTCATAGTTGTTCTCTCCTTTTTTAAAACAGCAGTTCTAAACACACACAGACACGCATGTTATCTGAAAGGCAGTCATTGAATATTATAGTCCAAGCCAAAGGAAAATAAGGCCAACATTTCAAATGAAGTCTCTGATTCTCTCTCACACAGGCAAACTTTCAAAGTTTCAAACATTCTGCATTTTAGTACAATTTTTATTTCTGCATTTTAAAATGGTTACCTCAAGCCTAAAGGCTATGGCAAGGTGACAGGTGTCATTTTATTTTTATTGCTCTCTCTTTCTTGAAATAACTTTTCCTTACTTGCTGTAAGGCATGAATCACAAGCAATAACTCTAGCTGAAGCAGGGTAGATCTTTGTCTTTAGGTACACACTGAAATTTCTAAGGTACTTGAGTGTCTTGTATGCTTTGCCAAAGGCGACATAAATCAACAACGTAGAACTTCAGTGCTCCCCCTAAAGTATGTTGTGTCATACTGGAAATCATGCAAATGACAAGTGATTACATTCTTCTTCTTCTCTCTCTTTCTCTCTTTCATTTTTGGAAACAGAAGGACCTAAATGGACACAAACTGATAAAATGGAAAAGCGGTTACATGCAGTTCCAGCAGCTAACACTGTCAAGTTCCGTTGTCCAGCTACAGGAAACCCCCTACCAACCATGAGGTGGCTAAAAAATGGCAAAGAATTTAAGCAAGAGCATCGCATTGGTGGATACAAGGTAAGACACATCTTCCTTCCTCCACATGCCAAGTGGAGTTGGTGTATTATATGTAGGAATGCCAATAAGATTTAGATGCAGCATGCCCTTATATCATGCTCATAACAGCCATGTAAAGCAATATGTGGCATCCCATATGTTGTTGGACTACAACTCCCATCAGCCCCAGTCAGCATGGCCAATGCTTGGGAGTGGCAGCAGTTGTAGTCTAATCAATGTCTGGAGGGCCACATGTTCCCCATGACTGTTGCAGAGGTATCACAGGATGTGGCTATTCTATAGGAAAGTTATATTTCCATGTCATGTTGGTTTATGTCAGTAGTTTATTTTCTCCAACCTATTCCCTATGTGAGTAACATGTGAATAGGGATTTTTTGAGGGATGGGGAGCCTGAAACTTCAGTCAGTATGGAGAATACAGAGCTAGATGGACCAGTGGTCTGGCTTTGTACAATGTGGGTTCCTATGTTCCTATTCACTGTGTTTATAATTAAACTCAGATTTGAAGCTCTGATATGCCCAGCCTGCCTGCCTCTGCTGGACAATGCTGGCCCTAACTATAGTAAATTTCTGTAGAGTTTTGAGTAAATGGTAAAAGCACACGCAGTACCTTTAAAGGATTCTGGTTCTGGCTCTCTTCATCTTCCCTAGAGCTTTTTTTCCTTTTTCTTCTTTTCTGTTTGTAAGGTCAAGTTATCAAAAGATCAGACATTGTGAATAGAGCTCTTACGGAGTAAGGGGTTAGTGGTGAAACAACAAGGGGGAAAAACACTCTACGAAAACATTGTTTGTAGAAGTGTTCTTAACAGTCTGTGCTTTTGTGCTACGACAGCCTAGAATATTCCAACTTGCAGACATATAGTAAAACAAAGCAAAACAAAAATCTTATGGCTTGGTGACTGCACACTTAATGAGCAGGAAGACTATTTTTATGGATTTTATGGTCTGTGAAATAGATGCAGAAAGCAGTGTTTTGAGGGCAAGTAATTGCAATTACTTAAAATGGTTTGCTTGAATTGAAAGTAGCATCGGATTAGTTGTTTCCATTCAAACTGTGAGTTACTGATTAGAAAGGACATCTAGAGAGGTTAGCTAGAGTGCCAAGTTAGAGTTAATATTAAACCTTTAGGTACCTACTGGGGTCAGGGAGGGGAAAAAACACTAGGATTTGATAATTTTGCTTTTATTTGGTTATTTAAGCTGACACTGGATGATCTTTATGTATGTAAAAACCAAACAAAACACTTCCACAAAATAACCCTCATCAACTACGAAAAACAAAAACCCTCACACGAAAAGAGTCATAATTAAAGAAACCTTTACTGTGAATAAAATATGCACAAAATCTAGTTGGACTTTTATGTACACCATTAGGCATGTTGAACTCTCCAAAAAACACTGTCCCCTGCTTGTGGCAGCTCAGCCAATGGGAAAAGTGTAAGTGGCAGGAAATGTATGCTGGGCACCATGCATGATGGGGTGAGAAGGATACAAAGTGCAAATGGTTCCCGCCTTTTGTATTTTGCAAAACGGGCAATTAGTGTTAGAAGTGGGACTTGCTACAAAATTTGCAGGTGCGCTCATGAGGGTGTAATTTTGATAATGCCCCTACAAATATCATAGCAGCTTTGTAGACCTGGAGAGGGAGCTTCAAATTGAGCCATGAAACTCAAGCTCTCATAAGTATGGATGCAGTTTGTATATGCAAAAAAGAAGAAAGTGGCCTGGAAAATAAAAAAGGGACCAATCATGTCTAACTGGCCTAATCAGAGGAAACCGGGTGTGCTTTGAGATGAAATTATAATGCAGCAGATGAAGACTTAGCTGTGGCAGCTACATGGGTCTCAGGGGATGCCAAGGTCCCCTCAAGGATGGTTGTTGAGGGCTATAGCATTAATACCCCTTAATGGCCTGTAAGGACTTCCTTAAAGCATCCAGTTAAGTGGTTTTTCATTATATGAATTCCGCAAATATGAATTCATATATTTGTTCAAGGGCGCAAATGCCTAACTTAAGTTTGTAAATCTACAATGGCCAATTTGTTCCAGCCCTTTACTGCTCTCCATGGTTTTCTTACCAGGATAGGTTATAAGTTTTACCACAATGTGTGAATAACCTCTGAAAATATGCCCGCTGCAAATGCTAAAGAAGACAGGCTTTAAAATCTTTTATTTTTTTTCCTTTCTAGCCAGATTTCCTATAGAAAGTGTCAGTTTTTCCAGAGATGGAGGCATGCTAATGTTCCAGATGAACATTAATTAATGAAGTAGACTTTTCTAACTACATTTGCTTACCTCATAAAATATAAAGGTGCACCTGGCAACACCTCCTTGCTTTTCGTAATACCAAAACGCATAAATGAATTGGCTACCATTCAACGTTACACACTTGTCTTGGGGATGATAGAGTGAAATGAAGCCAATTAAGAAAGTCAGTCTAGTCTTGGAGCACAAGAGAAACTTTGTTCCAATCCTAATGAGTGTTCTGCCTTTTAGGGGGAAAAAGGTGTGCAGCTGTTTGTTTCAAAGAATAACAAACACATAAAACTGTAAGCTGATGTTCACTGATTAGAGTCACTTAGCCTACTTCTAAAATGGAGGGCACTTGGAAAGCAGTCTGAACAGCAGACGCTCCCACTCCCTGCAGTATTGCAAGGGGGGGAAATCCCACTTGGCTTGCCCAAGAAAAGTCTGCACGTACCTGTAGTAGTGCTCTCTGGATTGTGGCCATTCACTAGCAGAAAGTCACAGGCTTATTCAATTCTTTGACTTGGGTCACCACTGTAGAGCATTTCCAGATTCAAGATTTTGGTAGGAAGGCAATGGACCTCCAAAATAGCTTTTCTAAGGCCAGAATGGTCTAGGACAAACAACCGCTAAAGAGCTAAAATAATAAAAAAATAAGCCTCCAGACTTTACCTAGAGTCTTTAACTGGGTTGGTTTGCAGGTGTGAAACTGACAAGGGGCTACTTCAGAGGTTGCCAGTTCATCTTGGCAGCAAGCCCCACCAGAAGAAGGTAGCTATTGGAGGAGGTTGTCGGCTGGTCTTGTCATCAAGGTGAACATGCAAGCAGTTTCTCCAGAATTTGCCTTGAGAATGTCTCACCTTGATCAAGAGAGCACAGCCTCAGCAATTATAAAAATTAGAAATTGAGCAACTCTGTTTCCCCTGCCAACACATACATGGTAGTGGGAGAGAGAGAGAATGTCATACCTGGGATAAGGACAACACATTTCAGTAGCAAAAGACTGGAGTAAATGTTGAGAAAATGTGACACCCCCTTACCAGAAGCACACCCTTGAAGGGTCCATGTGTGAATTGTCTGCCATAAATTAGAAGCAGGGGTATATTTGTTTGCTTTATGCAAAGTGTGTGTGGGGGTTAGATAATATATTTACCAAATTTAACAAGTACAGTCCACAGACATCCATTAGGTGTAGCAAAAGGTTCTCCTGTTTCTCACTGCACTTCTATCATTTTAAATGGTCATTTTTGCGAGCTTTTAAATGTGTATATACAGCCTCTTCAGTTGACCCTGGACTCTCACCAACCCCAGCCAAATAGCTAGCCAGGGTTTATAGGAGTTGTAGTTCAACAGCATCTGGAGGGTATCGGGTTGGGGAAGCCTAAACTACAGAGACCCCAAATGGCATGCTTAAAGTTCCATGAGTTTTTTCTCCCCATAATTATCACATGAGACCAATGGGTTTCATGATTACCATTCCTTTCTCTTAAACTCTTCTGACCTCCATGGGTTGCTGTAGCAGAATAATAATAAAAAAAACTGAACAGGTCTGGGGTTTATTAGAGTCATTATAGGATCAGAACCAGTTATTTCAGGGAACCACTGTGAAGTCAATGGTTTTGCTTTAGCAGAATTATGAAGTCGGGGGAGGGGGAAGACCCCTTGGTATTGGCTAATCTGTGCTTTAGGTTCCTCATGCTATCTCTCTGTATGGATTAGGCATAAAAAAAAGGTAAATCATTGAGCTGCATTCAGCAAAACATGCCAAAGGATTAGGTTTTTGTAAATCAGATTTGTAGGAAATGGCTCTGATTTTATAGGTATAATATTTCCAACAGACATATTCATAATCCAGATCACCACTAGAAGATAGAAGACACTTTGTGTTACAGTGGAATATTGATATCTGCAACTGCAGTTGACCTCACATACACAGACTTTTGCATTATTGGGGGATGGAAATACAGCTTCTTTTTCTAGACGAAGGAAAACCTGAACTTCCTTATGGCTCCTTGGTTCATCTTGGGGCTTATCCACACTGCTGTTTGCCCAACACTTCCCTCTGGGGAAACCCGATCTTTCGCACTGAATCAGAACAAGAAGCAAGTAGGTTTTCTGTAGATTGCAGTTTGTTCCGATTTAGCGCTAAGGAGCAGGTTTTCAATGGGCAAAGGCATAACCGCTTGGATCCATGCCCAGAAGACTCAAATCAAGTGAATAACTGCTGAGACCTTTGCTTTCTAGGCACGGGACAAGCAGAAGAGTGTGGACAAGCCCTTTGTTATCATTTTCCTTGTTGAACAGAAAGTGTGATACCCTTTAAAATACCCCCCCATGGCTGTGTGTTTAGCAGTTTGTCCTTTTGTTCGATGAATGTACCATTTCACTTTTTTATTCAGGATGGAAGTGCACAAATGTTACCAGTTCTCTAGGAAACTATAACTCAGAAGTTGATTCTTCTGTTGTGAGTGACTCTGTTTTTCAAACATTTGGAAACACTTGGGTTTTCCAAGATACACAGAGGTCATATTTCAAAGAGCTGTTGGCTTCTTGTGTGTGGTTCTTCCGACTACCATCCCCATCTCCTCCTCACACACATGGCTGTGGGTCTTTGGAAGAATTCCTGTATAATCTCCCCCTCCCCAAATGGGGAGCCTGTATGGACCGTAGCAAGATAGTGCATGCCAATAAGAATGAACAAGGCTCTTTACTTTCTTTTTCACCTCCCAGAAAGTAAATCGAGTCCTATCAGTTT